TGCATCGCATAACCTTAGTAAAGTTGGGCTCATGTGGTGACCCTTGGTGACCTTTGGTGACCTGACCTGTGACCTGACCTGGTATGACCAGTGACCTCTAATAGCAACATATGTACTAGACAACTGACGCCTTATCGCTGATTTTCGACAAAATGCGTTTTACTCGGTGTTACACGGGGCTTCTAGGGCAAAGCCCTAGAAGCCCCGTGAACGGTGAAACATTTTATCTTTGACCTGACCTGTGACGTCATCGGTGACCCCGAGGTCAATGAAATTTGGTTCCCCTTGACAAATTTGACAGGGCTATCGAACACCGTTTGAATTTTCTGGATCCGTCCAGTAGTTTCGGAGATACGGGGGGGGCAAAAAAGTGCCCCCCCCCCCCCCACCGCGTGGAAGGTGGCTGGTAGGCCCACCGCCTGCCGGGATAGGGTGATATGAGACATGCGGCTGCAAGGCGTATATCACTACTAATAACCTGTCTAACGATATATTCATCAATTATTTAGTCGTCATTCACCCACACTATCACGATGCCACGAGCAGGGCCATCGTTCATCTGCTATTTATCATCATTACCACCGTAAATGGACCCGAACGGCTGAACACGATCGGCTTATAGTGTCTGACTGTGAGCAGTTTTACATCGATCACAAACCGTCTCCATGAGATCTTGACCAATTTGTATCGGCAATTTATCTCCGCTCCATGCCAGTGCGCGTTTGCCGATGGTCTGTCTGAACGTAGTCAGGAATGCCATGAAATTGTGTAGATACTTGGACTCGTTTGCAGGTCAACTGAAGGTGAACCAATGGGGTTTTTAATTCGTAAAAATTACATTGTGTTCCGTTGTTTGTTTGCTGCGTATTCCACAACAGTTTTTGAAAACCAGAATGTGTTAAATCACTCGTTTGGAAAATTATTTGCAAATCTGAATGCATTCATTGAGGTTCCTTGGCATGTAAAGGTCAGGTCAAATATCAAAATTGAGCATATTGCTATGTTACATTTGTCCGTCCTGGTGCTTTCACAGCGGTAATCTCAGAAGCTACATGAAATCTGGAGGCGATCACATTATTAGTTTTCAAATAATCGCGGATAGTCGGCAAGGAGGGGGGGGGGGCATAAAAGCAGCCTCAGTCAAGAATTAATTCTCTTCTTGCCGGAACACGTTGCTCGTCTATGTAATAAGTGAATGAGGACTTTACTCCACAAGACATCGTTCGGGTCGGAGCTTTCGAATTGCATTTTCAAAACTTCGTCAGCGAGTCGTAATCGGGTTCGGGGGTATCGGTCGCAACGTTGCTCGTCTGTAGCCTGTAAATCTACATGTGTCTCGTAATTCCGCGACCGGATCTGTCAGAAGTGCTATCAAACTGCCTCACGATATCCCCTGGATATGACATGCGTATGTAGCGATTAGTAAAGTTCAGCCAACTGCAGAATAATTTACAGACGTGGGATGATGCCAGCTCAGTTCCTGGGACCCTGTATGCCAGTGCATGCAGCTCTAGGTCTTGGAATGGCTGATGTGAGGAAACAAGCTTTTGCTTCATTGCGTTGCCCTGGTGAGCGCGCGACTCATCTTTTTTTCTCGTGTCTCGTCTGTCTGTCTGTATGTCTGTCTGTCTGTCTATCCCAGCGTTTTTTCAGTTAACGATTTGCCTGGGTTGCCTTTATTTAAATCTCATAAAAAGGTGAACACCAAGTCGTTGTTATGCCGTCATTATTTGCTGGCTTTCGAGTCACATTGGGTGCGAATTCATTTCGATTCCGTCATCTGTTTTTGTTTTCCGGTTTATCGTGCTTCTACCACGGGTCAAACGTCTAATGCTTTACGGCATTAAACATTTGTCATGCACCCTGCGATTGTGAATTCCAGACATTATTCCCCAGACTGCATAAGAACTTCAGCACAATAGCGCAAGGCCGTGAGCTTTGAAATGATATGAAAGATGGTTGGCCCTTGAAAATGAAAGATGGTTGAGTTTACGAGACAGGTTTGGCATTTTATTACATTAAAACGGTGCTGGTGCTGAAATAATATTTTTTTTTGCGAAAATCCAAGAAACAATGACAAGCATGCATACGACCTTGCCGCTTCTGGCCCGTCTGACCATGATTATAGACTAGTGCAATCAAAGAGTCGTGCGTGCGTACCTTCTCTATTGATAGCGGCTCATGCGATGATGGATTGATCTCTTCTTTCATTCTTAACTTTAAAAGTTTTGGGCAGGAGTTTAGGCGACAAAGACTGGAGTCGTATAGGGCTCTGAGAAGAGCTCTAAAGCGTTCAAAGTTTTGAGTGCTTTGCTTAGGATGAATAAAAATAGATTGAGATCATTAATCATCTTTTGCGGTGTCGGGCTTTTATCTTAGCGGGTTGAACCCTTGAGGTGCGATAAATGACGATAAACCTATAACGCAGGAACTTCGATCACGTTTGGTTCGTGTTTAGATTAAACGACTATTTTCGGTTTAACCCTCGCCGGCACAGGCCATTTTGAGTCCTTCGACGGCACAAGGGGGGGGGGGGGGGTTGGTACGACCCCCCCCCCCCACGCGTTTGGCCCCTGATCGAGCTAGAGCTTCGCGGAAAAAACGAGCGTGCTGCCCGTCACGAGAGGAAGCCGATGATACCCAATTTTAAGGTCCTAGGTCATCGGGTGACCTTCCAGGTCAGGTCAATGACCCGAAAACCGGGAAAATCGGGACCTGTTAGAAAGTCGTAAAGTGTGGCTGCTATGTGGTTTTCCGGGGTGCTGATCACGAATATCGTGTTAGTTTTGATCACAGATGATGTCTTTAAGCATTTAGACCAGGTCGGGTCAGGTCAGATCAGGTCAACAGGTAGGGGTTATGACGGGTATTCGTAATACGTGTCAACCGCCTCGGACAGCTTCGTAACATGTTACGAAGGCACCAAAACTACTTCGTAAATGTTCAAATGGTTGCTAAATTCGAATTCAGCTCCAAAAACTAGCCTAGAAACATGTAAAACTCGAAAAAGTGAACCGAGGTCACCCGAGGTCACCAAAGGTCAATGACCTGACCTGACCTGACCTTCAGGTGACCTTGACACCAACCCTAATGCATGGGAGCAACATCAAATCACATTTTTTAACGTTTGAAACCACGAAAAGCTTGCAAACGCGCGGCTAATGCGAGCCGACATGCGCCGAACCGCGATTTCGGCCAAACATGGTCACAGAAAAGAGGTCACAGGTCAAAGGTCATTAGGGGCAGGGTCATGAAATTTTCAGGGTAGGTGTAAAATTGATCAATGCGAGGGTACTGAAAGTTTCGTCGCGATCGGCCGCTTTTTACGCGAGTTATTCGCGAAAAACCTTAGGGGGGGTTGCATCAACCCCCCCCCCCCTGTGCCGGCGAGGGTTAACCCGGCAGTTGCTGGGGTATTTCGCCACCCACCGTTTGCTGGGGGGGGGGGGGCGTTAAACGCCCCCAGCCGATAACTCGAGAACCAATAGGCGCAGCGAAACGCACGAGGCGGCAAACGAAAGAGCGCGACGAGACGCTTCAGATGAGTACTTGAAAGTTGAATTTTGAGGTCACAGGTCGGGTCAAGGTCAGGTCAAACACCTGAAATCGGGCTTTCAGTAGCATGGACTTCAGGACTTCGCAATGGGCGCCTCTCGTCACAAACTCTGTCAAAACGGTGCACAATCCATCATATAAAGCCTACAAGAGTGTCAGCTCCATGTAGGGGTCAGCCAAGCATAGGTCAGGGTCAAGGTCAGGTCAACCGGGTAGGCACATATCCCCGAAAATCAAAACTGATATTCGCAGCCTGTGACACATGTTTTATGGGTAATTTGGGGCGTAGAACACGATGGTGACATTCATTTTATCATATGTGTACGTGTTTGGCTAAAAAAGTTCAATTTAAGAAATGCATGTATCATGGTCGTGGAGTAGTCACGAGAAATTGCCAAGATTCAGTTCAAGATTTTGGAAAATGCAGAACGATAATCAATAATCGAAGATAGCCATTTGATTGTTCATGGTATTGGCAGTCTAATGGCGTTTACGGCATGTCTGTATGTCTATTCTGTGATTTTATATGATTTTTTGAACATATGCCGTTTTTGGTCGAAAACTCAGAAATCATGACGTCACTAAAACCTCGATATCTCAAAATTTTTCCGACCGATTTTTTTGAAACTTTGTCACAATAAACTTCAATCAATTCCCAACAGGTAGGTACCTAAAATATGGCGCGCCTGCGGCGCGCTGTTTTTATGCTATGGCCCGGCGAAAAAAGTGGGGGCGTTTAACGCCCCCCCCCCCCCAGCAACTCGCGGGTTAAGGATCAACATGTGTATTGTCAGAAAATCGTACGGCAAATCTACAGACTCTAAACCAAAACAATGAAATATTAAACTTTGTGGTCATATGACTTCGTCACGTACTAAACAACGCTCCATGGCCCCGACCCCTAAAAAGAATTGTTGACATAGTTAGATGCGAATCTGATTTGGAGTTACATCTGTGTGTATTTATAGATTAGAAAATATACAATTTTTGTGTAATGCACGCATCTCTGCTCATTGAGGATTTCATTGACAGGCAGCTGGATATGGTAGCTCACCTATAACTGACGGACAAAGGCACGTGCAGCGTCTACCGTCTGATCCTCCGGGTGTGGTGGGGTCACCCATCAACATCGCTTCAGACCGTAACGGTCACTTCAGATCGTAACGATCGCCGTGGCTCGGTCGGGCCAAGAGCCATCGGACCGCACCGCGAGGACGTCGAAGAACGGCACGTCGAGTTGAGTGACGTAAGGCACCGCGGCAGCACTGAAGTCTCGCAGAGGACGTGGACCGTTCCGGGACGAGGTGTGTTTAGAAGAGCGTGATAACGAGGGGTGGGACAAATAAACAATTCGGCGAGTGTGACGTAACTGTTATAAGGCCGAAGTGGCTGGCCAAACTTTTTGCTATTTTAGTGGACGAGGACCGCGATCGAAGGACCTTACCATGTCCTGGAATTCATCCTCGGCTCTGCCGTCTCCGGCGCCGGAGAATCACGTTTTCGTGTCGCCCAGCAGCCGCCTCGGTGCCCCCAGCGTTAACGAGACATGTCTGGAGGCTGCACAAGCTCTGGGTGACCTGCTTCTCGCCAACCGTACACTTCACGAGTGTGCGTGCGCCAGTCGCAACATCTCAACCTCCGAGTTCCGCCACTGGAACTGCGGCCAGTTCGATCCGATCATCAAGACCTCTTTCGACGTGGTTATCCTCGTCTCCTACATCTCTATCATGATTGTCTCCCTAGTGGGCAACACTCTCGTCTGCTACATTGTTCTTTCGTCTGCGCGCATGCGCACAGTCACCAACTACCTCATCACCAACATGGCCGTCGGAGATCTGCTGATGACGCTGCTCTGCGTGCCCTTCACCTTCTCCAGCGTCCTCCTGCTGCAGCACTGGCCCTTCGGCGCCACCATGTGCTGGCTGGTGTCCTTCACGCAAGCCGTATCGGTCTTTGTGTCGGCGTTCTCCCTGATCGCCATCAGCGTGGATCGGTACCGCGCCATCATCTACCCGCTTCGTCCTCGCGTGACGCGTCAGCACGCGCGCCTCTTCATCCTCCTCATCTGGCTGCTGGCGATCGGCACGTGCGTTCCCATCGCGGTAACCTCCCGCCTCTGGCAGCCGCCACATCGCCGCTTCATCCTTAACGACCTATACGTCTGCGACGAGCACTGGCAGCAGGGAAGTCGCGAGCAGTACAGCATGGCCGTGATGGCGCTGCAGTACTTCCTACCAGTCCTGGTACTGATGTACACCTACGGCAGAATCGCACTGGAGGTCTGGGGGAAGACGGCGGCGCTGTTTGAGCAGCGAGACCCACGAGAGGCGCGCCTGGCCAGGACGCGACGCAAGGTGAGTCCTGCAAGGGGTTCGGGAAACTAAGCGCTTCTTTCGTATTTTCTTTCTGTTTCTGTCTTTCTTTCTTTCATTCATTCTTTCTTTCATTCTTTCTTTCTTTCTTTCTTTCTTTCTTTCTTTCTTTCTTTCTTTCTTTCATTCTTTCTTTCTTCCTTTCTTTATTTCTCCTTTCCTAACTGTGCGATGGTAATGGTGGTGCTGATGACGCTTCACTGGTTTGTGGTTTCTCTTGCAGGGCGGCAGTATAGTCGGCTACAGAATGATGTTCCACTTTTCACAGGCAGTTATTTGCCTGGAGTGGTAGGCTGTGCCGCATCACACGGGCTGAGTTCACAAATTATAGCTTTGTCCCAATGCTGACAATCGACACGCTTAATTGCGTGATAACGGCACAACTTAGCGCTCCGGTCAACTGATAGCTTCTGAGGAGTGGAACATCATTTTGTAGTCGACTATACTAAGTACTATGCATACAAAAGGATTGTTTCACCTTAGGGTGTTTCTAAGTCACCAGACTAGCTGGGCACAATCTTTGAGCCCGATTGCTGATATCCTTGTCTTGCATACTTCTGGTAGGAGTAAAGGTGTCTAACTGGTCATGACAAATCTTGTACGCATTTCTTGCACATCCACTTATCAATGAACAAGCTTATGTAGTTATCGCCAACGGTGGTGTTCACTGCAATGCACTGTTTGGCTCACCTTATATCTTTGATAATTTGTGACGAAGATATTGCCAACATCGGGATCTGTGAATGAAACTAAGTTTGTCAGTGCTGTATCCGGCCAGAAAGTTTTATCAGTTTTATCTTGCTTGCATACTGTTTGCATCAAAAACTTTTTTAGAACACTAGTCCATTTTACATAACAGTCCAGTTTCCATTTGGCTGACTATTTTCAAGACAAAAATCCGGAAGATATGACTATGCATAAAGACAGCACTAATTCTGGTGTTCTTTTAATACCTTCCTCGCTTTAATCTCCTTGCTCTGCTTGCTGCAAAGAGCCCAACCATCGTTGCTGAAACATTGCGAATTCAGCTGGTCTTTTCTCACGTCTTACCCAAAAGATGTTAAGCTGACGCTTTAGGGCCAGGCTGTGAGCTGTGAGTGTGATATTACCGTTTCATCCGTTTGCTGGAGAAAACACAAGGCAGATGGTCGTTTCACGCACCACACATTACTATTTAGGAGTCCCGTTTTGCGACTGTTGTCGATTAGAAACGTGTGGCATTGACGTCATTCCTTTTGATTAGTCATTTGTTCGCGGGTTTATTCTGCGACCAATTGTGGTGGCTCCGCCATTAGTCATTTCTATTCTGAGTAAGTGGTATTACTATGGGCCAACATGGTTTTTGGCCTAAGCCATTGCCATTTCGGTGGAGGCTATTTTGTTTGACCGCTCTGATGGTTCGTTAATCGTTTTGTATGTAAAAATAACAGTTGCTATCCCAATTACAGTCAAATACCGTTGATTGCCTTTTTCAGACAAGTTAATTATATACATGAGGTTTCTAGGGTGATTTTCTCTATACATTGTTTCCCCATGCATTAGGGCGTCACTGTTCACCGGCGTATCGGGACGACTCTTCCCTGTCAGCTACTGGCCGTTTTTAGATCATCCAACTCCTAACCAGTTATACCTAGCTCCACGAACCAACGAACCGAGGACAATAATTTCCAGATTTTACTTGGTTTGCACAAAGTGTACAAAAACAATGACAGGTCTGGGGCCGACAATCGCTATTTATGTCAAATGGGATTTGGCTGCTCAGTGAGCTTTTCGTAAAGAGAAAATTATTTATTGATGTCCCAAAATATATCGTTAGTTTTTCCTACAAGCAGACATGTGCATGGATCCGAGTGATGGATCTATGATCTCAGTGGATCTCGAAGCAAAGTACAGGTTGGGATCTATGATCTCATATGATCTGACGATAAATTAAGAACATGGATCTATGATCTGGGTGGATCCCACCATGCACCACATTTGAAACCATGTTTAAAGGGTTTCTATGCCAATAAGTGACACAAAACTATGGATTATGACGTGCAATCACATAAAATCACTAAAACAGAACGTTTGTGAGTTGAAACAAGTGCTTTTTTGGGAAATATGTGTTCACAAAAAAATAGGTGAGGATCTATGATCTCACTGGATCTCAAGCAAAAAATGAGACTCGGATCTGTGATCCCTATGGATCTCTCGATAAATTACAGAGCTGGATCTATGATCCCGATGGATCCGAGATCAGGATCCGTGGGATCAGATCCTAGATCCATTTTCTCGGATCCATGCACATGTCTGCCTAGAAGTATGTTTCGATGTATGTATCTATATTATCCTTTGCATCTTCATATTTGTCATTAGCAACATTAAAATCCTTAGATGGACTTCATTTTAAGTGAAAGGCGCTGACGCAAGAATGTGCCATATAACTCCTTAAGCTAGGACTGAATATTTTTATTCGACAAAATATTTTAAAGATTGTAAACCAGTGCTTCCAATGTTAGGTCTTGGGATATCGAAGCAAAACAAAATAGCTTCGTAAACCATGGAAGAATACTAAGACACGCGTGACACTCAGGAATTTGATTGGTATTTTTATTTTTAACAAACTTCATATCATTCGATACCTTTGTAATGATTTATTTAACCATGAACAATCTTCCTGACATTTTAGGGGCACCAATGCCAAATATCAAATTGGTATTGGTTTAATATTGGTATAACAAAATGTAGTATCCAATTGACACCTCTGTAGCGAACCAATACATATACTGGGCAATAAACGTATCTGATAAGGTTGCAAGATAGAGGTTAGCTTTGTGTAAAAATCGTCGAGACATGAGGCGCTAATTGCCAAGCAAATGCACTGAATGAATTAAACTTCCTTCTAGGCTCGCATGCTGGAGCTAATTCATCTCATCTCTACATCATTTCCTGAATTTGTGCTCAATTGGCAACTGATTAGCCGGTGCATTTGTATGGTTTGTGATTCAGTAAGTCTCAATATACCTGAGCTACCAGGTTAATATAAGTAATCAAGCTGCGATGCTGTGCATTAGTTGCTTTCTTGGCGATCGATTCTCCATTTACACCCTACAAATAGCCTTATTTGCACTTTCTGTGTGATGCATTTGGGGCGACATTCTGTCAATAGTTCTAATGCCGGTTGACGAGAACAGATGATGTTTCTGTGTCATCATCAATAGCAGCTGGAGGCGACTCTGGAGGCCGTGTTTGCTGAATTAGCTCCAATAACCTTGTTCAGTGGAAAGGTGAAATATACGAGTATCCATCTACATGACTAACCCGTTATTTATCTCCTATCTTCCTTTCCGTTTAGTGCTCACCCGTTATGACCTCCTATCTATCAGTGAACCATGGTTCATTACAATTGTGGCGTATCCTTATCACTTATCAGCATATACGCACGAACGATGTCCCAGTTTTTTTTTTTTGTATGAGCTAGACCTGCTTTTACTCTGAGCATAATGTAAAATTATTTTGATGCAGCCTGCTTGGATGACTGCTTAGCTCGCTCCATGCTGATCCCATTCAATAAAGTCGACAAGGGTAGCCATTTTTATGTTACATAACTCGTTTTAATTGATACTGGTTTTACACCATTCGTGAAGAACAAGTCGCCTACGGTATCATATTCTAAAGCTGCATTGGGATATATAAACAATTGTGTTTTTGAATAGGATCTATACCCGATCGCTCTGATGCGTTAACAAGTCTGCCGACAATACCAGCAAACTATGGTGTATGATGGTAATAGTTTTCACTCTCATCAGCAGGCACTGGTCGCGTGCCGTTATTATTGTTATTATACCATTAATTCTACAAACCAGATACGTATCATTGGTGTCATAGTAGAAATGAGAGGCAGCTACATACAGTGATACGGTGAATAGTGCCGGATGGCTTATATAACTTTGCACCAGAGACTTACATTTTCACACATACAGGTACATTGTACATCACATTTGGTCGCAACTGGTCAGGGGCTAATAATATGCATTTTCGCTGCTTGTGCCATACGGTTGGCAGGGCAAATGATCCATTGATGACGTCAAATGCCAAATACCTAGTCTTCAAACACTCATGACCTCACATGAGTCTCCATTCATTTTGTGATGTTACATGGGCACCATCATATCATGACGTTACACTGGCTCCGTCCATTGGTGACGTCATAAATACCCGTCCATTGATGACGTCACACGGGCGCCATCCACCCATGACGTCATACGGTCTCCGTCCATTGGTGACGTCACTCGGGCTCCCATCCACTGATGAGGTCATACAGACCTTCCTCGTCCATCCAACGGTGACGGTCCCGACGGCAGGTAACACTGTCATCGCCCCCCTGCCTGTACCCTAGCAGCGTTCCCAGAGGAGTGCTCGGACTCAGCTGTGCTCCCAGAGGGGTGCTTGGGCCTTCCCCGTCCGCAGCGCCCGTCGGCAGCCGGAGTGTCCCTTAGGGGAAGGTGAGAGCGACACATTCTGGAAACGGCGGAGGCGGCGCTGAGGTGAAAACGAATCATTGGCAGTTGGTCCGTTTTTCTGTCTGATGCTTCAATGCGCGACAGTGGCATGCATCTAAATAGTGTACTAAATAGTACCAGCCAATACGGGTGTTGGATCTTTTGGTCGAAGGAAACTCGAAGCTAACTGCAGGTTATGATTTATGATTCCTTTATACCCTCGGGAATATTAATATTGGCTTATAATCTCATAGATGCTGGCTACAAACCAGGATCGAGGATCTTAGGATCTGGATTTTGCACGAACATTTAAAACCATGAGTCCAGGCGATTTCAAGCGAAACAGTAAAACTCTTGGTAAAACTGCAAATTGTTAGCTGAAATTGAATTATGGGTGGGACCAATGATGAATATCAAGAAAATCGAAGAGTTTATAAGGGACGTATTAGTCAGCTAGGACAAGATGCTGCTTTAACCCGCGACCTGGTGGGGGGGGGGGCTATTTTTTGCCCCCCCCCCCCTCCAGACTTTTCGATATATCTCCAGAACCGCTCCGCCGACCGATCGTCACCAAACTTTCAGT